GCCCCAGGAACAAATGCCTCCTGCCCTGACCACCTCACAGAGCCCATGTGGAGCACCCTAAGTGGGATCCTGGCAGACAGGATGCAGGCCTGGCTCTGAGTGGAGGTTTGAGGAGGAGTAGGTGGTGGGTGAGGCCATGCTGGGTGAGGCAGTGGATCAGAGCCCTATAAGTAGAAGCCTGGGGCCTCCCCACCCTTACTGACCAACTCTCCCACTACAGATGTCCTAACTCCCAGCCTGGCTGGGCCCCTGCTCACTGACCCTCTGACTATGCCTGAGTCTGCTGCCCAGCTGACCAGGTGGTAGGGAGGACTGTTCAGATGCCTTCTGGGAGGGATCAAGAGAGGGCTGATGGTCAGGCCTCCCCCACATGCCTGGAGGGGAGAATGGCCTCAGATTCAGGTGACTGTGTTGTCTGGCCCTAGAGCTGATATTCATAAAGATCCTGACGATTGTGCTTGGAGAGTTCAGCCTGGGTGCTGCTTGTACTGTCTTGTTCATCTACAATGCTGAGCTCCTCCCCACCGTCCTCAGGTACGGAGTATGCTGGGTGAGGGGGGTGGGGAGGGACAGATAATGACAAGGCGAACACACAGCAGCAGAGATTGAGCATTCATCTGGTGATGAGCACAGTGCTGAATGGTTTACATGGATGATCTCAATCAACAACAACAACAACAACAATCAAAAAAAAAAAAAAAAACGCCCACAAGTACTATCATTAACCATATTTAGAAAGCAAACCAGAGAGATAAAGGCAGTTGACCAAGGTCATAGTAAGTGTCAGAGATGGGCTTAGGCCCTAGGTGCTTTGACTCAGTTCCTACCTTGCACTCACTGCCTGGAAGTTGTTTGGGTCCATCTAAGGCTCAGCCTTGTCTCGAAGTTGGTGGTGGGGGAACATCTTCCTGCCTGCCCAGCATCACTGCCAGTGCCTTCTGTCCTCACATGCACACAGCACTGCATGGTCCTTACCTTTTCCCTTCCTCACCTCCACTAGGGAGGCCTTTAAGAAAGAGTGAGATGGACATAGTGGTGACTGGAGGGTGGGGACTTTCAGGCAGCTGCTTCTCCCACCCTGGCCACCCTTGGCTAAGAGGCCTCCAGAAGAGCTCTCGCCTTCACTTTCAGGGCCACAGGTCTGGGGCTCACATCTTTGGTCATTGGGGTTGGATTCAGCTCATTCCTGGTAATCATTGACCAGACCTCCTCCCACCTGCCTGCCTTTCTCTGCTGCGTCTCAGCCATCCTGGCCACTAGCTTCTCCTATCTGCTGCCAGAAATGCAAGATCACCCCTTCTCTGACAACCAGGATTACTTCCTACGAAAGAGGAGGTAGGTGTGCCAGGTCCCAGCTGTGCCAGTAAGTGGTCTGGTTCTAAAGACCTTGGCACTGACAGAAGTCAGCTATTGTCCATCTGTATCCCTTTACCAGCAAGGTCTGTGTGCACACACGTCTCTATTTCTTCTGGATGCTGCTGCCTTCCCAGGTCCAGAGCAGTCCAGCTTCTGCCAGCTCTCCTGACTTTACCGGGTCAAGGTCTCCCCTTTCCTTGACCTTGTCTGCTCCTCTGGATAGAGGCACTGCTTTGGTGGATACTTACCAGGAGCCTTCAGAGATCCCCTGGGCTCTTGTCCCTCCCGGGATGCAGGTTACTGGCTTGGAACTGGCTGCCTGAGGACAGCTTCTTTCCTGTTGGTGAACTCTCTGCTCCTCCTAAATAACCCAGGCTTTGTTAATGCCTCTGGCCTCTTGGGCCCAGTATCCCAGGACTCCATTTGGGAACTGGGCTCTACCTAACAGCTCCTTGGGCATTGCTGGCCTGTTGTCCCCTTGATGTGATTTATCTTGATCAGCAGAACCATCCCTGCTGGGCGTTGTGCCAAAGAGCCCATCATTATCTCCCTGGACTTGGGGTAAGCACCACAGTGGAGCAGAGACTGCCTGAGGTCCTACAGTGCCCTCTGCTCTATACTACAGGAGTTGCTGCCTCTGGCCTTCTTATGCCCTGCTGGCCACCATCCACCTCCTTCCCTCCCTCCCTCAAACCCTCACCAGAACAACATGTCCTGCACATTGTGCCAGAGTTGAGCTGTCAACAAGAAGTCAGAGGTCCTCCCACCCTTGAGCAAGTCATGTTCATGAGGAGACATATGCACAGTAGTTTTCACTAGTGGACTCTGAGAACAGGATGTGCAGGACCTATAGGATCTAACAAGAGAAGAACTTTAATTTGGGGGGGAGTTGGAACATTTGAGTAGGGCTTTGAAGGATGAATAGGAGTGTGCCCTACTGTAGACAGGGCAAGTACAATGCTACAGAGTAAGAGAGCAGAGTGCTTGAGGACACAGGCTCTTCAGCCAGAGGGCCTGGATTTCTATTCTGTGCTATCACTTTCTAGCATGTGCACAAGGAAGTTAGCTCTTACCTCTGAGACTCAGTTTCTTCTTTTGCAAAATGGAATAACATAGTAATGAAATAGCCAACATGTATTCTTTATCAGGTGGTGAGTCCTATTCTATATATGCCTTAACTCTCTTGTCCTCAAAATAACCAAATGTGAGGTATGTCCTGTGACTATCCCCATTTTACAGATAAGAACACTGAGGCACAGAGAGGTAAGGCAGATGTAGTCCATCCTTCCCCTCCTGCAGAGTTTCTGAGAGGATTACACCCACATACAGTGGTGGCACAGGCTTTGGCACATGGAAAGTGCTTATTAAATGCTAGTGATGAGGGTAGTAGACCAAACCCAAGGACACAGAAAAGAGAAGGGTCTAGCTGGGGTTGTTAGATGGAGCAGGGATGAACCTGGAGGTGAGGTTCTTTCCTGGGCTCCTGGTGGAGCCAGACTGGGGACCTGTGGGAGGAAGAAAGCCCCACCTCTTGGGAATTGGGCACAGAGGAAGGTCCCTCAAAGCTGCTACTTTTCCTAGTTCCCAGAAAGATACGTCTCGGGGCTTATTCTCTGAGGGCTCCGTCACAAGCAGAAATGACAACAAGATGACTGAGGACAACTTGTCTTGTGCTGGGACTAAGGAAGTGGACAAGAACACGATTCTCAGTGCCCAGATCCAGAGACTGGTCACACCCCCTCCCTCTAATAATGCCGTGGAGCAATTGAGACAATCAGAAGACAACAATCAGGCTCCCTGAGGGCCAGGCCCCCGTCCTCCTCAAGTTGGAGTTGAGTGGCTGGGCACGGAGTTGTGGATTCCATACTATGAAGTCCTGGCCCAGTGCCCCATAGAGGGCAGGGTCAGTCCTGCTCCTAGACTGGACCTCAAATCTAGAATTGGTCCCTTCTGGGGAAGCCAGGTTGTGAGTCCTTCCAATAAAAGCACATGTTGGCCTCAAGATGTTGGTCAAATGTGGCTGTGTCTAGGGACTCCAGAGGCCCTGGCCTAGAGGAGAGCAGCTCAGGTAGGATCCCAGATCCTTGGTGTCTTTGGCTACTCCTCGGGGAACAGTGAGTTGCTCTTAGTGTGTGGGGAAGAGGTAATATCCATGAGGACCTGGGGTGGACAATGGGTGGGCCTGGGACTTCTCACCATCCACACCCTCTAGTGTGGGTGCCACCAGCATGGGTGGGCATCTAGCTCAGGCACAGGCTGAGGACAGATTCCAAAACCCCGTTTTAGGCACCAGCCAGGGAAGGGGTAGAGTAGAAAGATAAGAACTTCTCCCTTTTGTCCCACCATGTGGGGCTTTCTCACTCTGTTTTTCCTCTGATGCTCCTAAATAAGCACGTCCCTGGGTAGTGTCCTTCTCAGTTCTCCTCCTCGGGGCTGCCTTCTCTGATGGCTCTAGCCTAGCAGGCCTGTGACCTCCATCCTGGAGGACAAGCCCCTATAGCCCAGCTCACAGTCCTCTTGCCCTGCAGGTGAGTCTGCCCTTCCCAGCCTGCATGGGGACTCCCTCTGGCAGAGCAAAGGGGTCTTTATCCAGTGAGGCACATGGGGCGGTCTTTAGGCCAGGCCCTCAGCACCAGGTCCTCTCTTGCTGGGAAGGGCCTGCCTCCTCTCTGCACTGTTGCCCAGGAATTTGCAGAAAAGAGCTCTGTCCAATTCCTCATAGATTCAAGGACAGAGAATCATGTCAGTCCTAATATAGACAGGGCAGCAAGGCCCTGGATCTTCTGTGGCAGGCTTCAAGTACAGTGAAGCGGCGCCAGCTTTTAGCCTTCACTATATACTGGTGCCCCCAGGCTGCAACCGGCACAGGCTCCCAACTTTTTGGACAGCAAGAAGGAGGAGCCCTCATCTTCCACTTTCAAGATCATTTTTTGGTCCTCCACTCTTTACTGGGTTTCCTGGGATAGCCTCCAAAGTGGGTTTGAAGGACCCAGAAAGGGCTCTTGCCAAGTATCTGCTCAACATAGGATGCTTGAAAAATCTGTTGCTCTTTCTGGGTGAGGCCTGTCTGGGAGATGTGATGGCCAACATATTAGCCATGTTAAATACCTGACCTCAAGTTGCATTGGAGAAGGACTCAGCCAGTCCTGCAGGGAACAGCATGAAAGGACTCAGGAGAGAAAGCTGCTGGGACTTGCATGGGTGTCAAGGAGCTGGCGGCTGGCGTCAAGACCAGCATACCCATCACAACTTCAAGTTTGCTTAGGGGCCAGGGCTTGTCATTTCATTCCAGATAGGACCCGCCTACCTAATCCATGGCTAACATTCTGCATTACCTAGATTTTGACATTGTGTTTTTTAATAGACTAGACCCATGCTGTCCCAGATAGTAGCCGTTAACCAAATGTTAGGGCTCAAATGTGGTGATTCTGAATTGAGATGGCTGTTAACTGTAAAAACATGCTGGATTTCTAAGACAGTACAAAACAATACATAAAATACCTCATTAGTGCTTTTTATACAGATTGCAGGTGAACATGATACTATTTTGGCTATGTTAAGCTAATAAAATATTACAATGAGTTACATCTGTTTTTTAAAACATTTTGAAATGTGACTACCAGAAATTTAAAAACTACACACATGACTTGTGTCAGTGGCCCATATTATATGTCTATTAGACAGCACTGGACTAAAACATAGAGTGGGACTAAGGAGTTTTTTCAAGAGTTTGAATTGGTGGGTTACAGAGTCACGATGAGCATGCTTGCTTTCAAACAAACACATTTGGAAACACCAAAAAGAGTGAGTGATGATCACTTTTCTGATAATAAACAACTACTCAAATTTAGGTGCACCGGTATTCCTCAACTTGCACGACTAGACACAGGTGGGTGCAGGGCTTTTCTCATGACTGCAGAAAACAAACTTAAACCGGTAATGTTTAGTTTGATTTAACATTGCGTTTAGTCTGATTCTGGCCCCAGCTGTGCAGAAAGGGCTCTGGAAGAATGTTCCTGGCAGCTCACACCTGTGGCTCTTCCGTTCTGCAGGCTCAGGGAGCCAGTGCTGTGTTGCCAGCACACTCTTCAGGCCTTGTGGGTGAGTGCAGAGCCCTCCACCCGTGCACAGCCTTCCAGCAGTCTTTGGAGTGACAGGCTTCCATTTGTTCTGGTTGCTCTTGACAAGTTTCTTAGTAGCAGAGGGGTCATCTTTAAGATCAATGTGGGTCCTGACAAGCAAGAAAGACTTTTTTGAATGCATTTTTCAAATGAGCTCACTAAAACTGACTAGAAATACATCTGTTTGTGGGTACTCACTCAGCAGCTGCAAACTGTCACAGTCCCCTTGTCCCACAGGGTCAGGAAGTCCAAGGGAATATGCTCTCCATCATCACCAAGGTGGCTGCATAGTTGTCAGAAACAGCACTACATATTCCAATGGAAATCTGCTGTGTATGATATGGGGAGATGTTTTTCCAATAGCACCATCACTGACAAAAATGCACCTAATTGTCAGCATTGCCAAAATCATTTTGTATCCACTTAAAAATGCAGTGCGCACCTCAGCCTCTGGCTGGGTGTTGGCAGCACTCAGGAAGCTCTCTCCTTGTCCTCAGTCACCCACCTACACGGTGCTGGCCCTGGGGTTGGGCCTCGGACCTCTTACACTACCTTGATGAGCTCCCTCCTGCCCTCATCCTCCCAAGGACTGTGACTCCCAAGGGAATGTCCACCTTGGGTACTTTGTGCCTTGGATCACGTGGTAATCCAGGCTCAGTTCCAGAGTGGAACTGTCTTGGTGTGAAGTATCCTGGCTCTATCATTATTATAAAGGTAAAAGAAAAGTGGGCAACATAAAATTAGTGGGATATTTGACATTGTATTTCAGAAACTAATGCATCAATATCTGGTTATGATGGATGTTATTTGCAATTCTCCGTGAGTTCTCAAGGTGCTCATCAGATATTTTGTTTCTAAGTTTAGTCTAATGTGCTGTGTTCTTGAAAATAGTTTGTCTTAATAAAAAAAAAGAAAAAAGAAAATAGTTTGTCACAAAAGCAGGTGCTGCCAAAAAGTGATGGCATGACAATGGTGTGATTGTCAAGTGAGGGGTATTTGTGTCTGGGAAGACAAAACCTATTAATGTCCAGTAAAGAGACATGATCAAATTTTTATTTCATTTGAATATCAGATTGCAGCTCTATGCATTCCATTTTACAATTGGTCATTTTAAAATTTAATGTTGACTGATAATGGAGTAATAATGCACCAAAATATGGAGTATTTTCTCAGAAATCTTGAAATCTATTTTCAAATTTTTATGTGAAGTAGAAAAGCAAGTCTGCACATTTTTCACTGTTCACAGGACTGTGTTAGCCAGTGTGGTGAAATGCATAAAATTGTTTTCTTTAATTTGAGCTTGACATAATTTAGGTTTCATTTGAAATGCTGTTACTGTTTAAAACATTGTATATTAAGTTGGTTTTAACCATGAAGACACATTTAACTCATTTAAATGAGCAATTAAATGCAGTAAAATTGCTAAATCTGTGAGCCAGTTTTCATCATCAAGTTCTCGTACCTATTTGGTTTTTATTACCATGAACAACTTGATAATATGTCGCAAATCGTAAAATCTTTCCAACACTTGGCCTTGACTTAGCCATCTTTCAAAGAGTAAATGATGTCACCATTGATACTGTTAAGGAATTCCTGGAATTGGCGAGGATTCAATCCCTTGGCCCTTAGGAAATTCAGTCTTCACGACAATTTGCTTGATATTATCCATTTTTAATATTTTACACATAAATTTTCTTGGTGTACTATGCAATGATACCTCATCAAGCAGGAGTTTGGGGCAGGAATTGCCCCATCTTTTATTAATTTTACAAGTCATTCTCTTTTACCTACTTTTGCCAGGGTAAAATCAGTAACTATACCAGATATATTGACAATGGAGAAATAGGCTTAACATATTTTTTGCTGTTTTGTATAAATCTCTTGATGTAGCTATGTCTTTTAATGGCACTAAAGAAGCCATTTTTTCACTGATGTTATTTTTGTTATCAATACCTCTACTAAAAATTGCAAGTTGAGCCATATTTGTGGCATCAGTGCTGTCATCCATTGCCAAACCATAAAATTTAAAATTAGAAGCTTTACTTTCCAAATTTCTTTTGATAGATTTTCCAGTTGCTTTAATTTGCTCAGCTATAGTCTGGTGAGACAAACTAATTTTAGAAATATCTCCCTTTTTTTCAAGCCAAATTACATCTCCCATGCCTTCCATACATTGCTTAATACACTTACCATCAGCAAATAGTTTTGATTTTTTTTTGCTATTAAATACGCTACCACATAACCAGCTTCTACAATGGGATGCCCCTGAGTTATCAGCTTAAAACATTTTTTTGTTCTTGAGAAGACAGACTTTTTTCAGTTCCACTATATTGTCCTTATGAAACAATTTTTTACATGCATTGAATTTGGCAGCATGTTTTTGCATACAAGGCCTTTTCAAGTTATAGTGTTTAAAAAGTTGCACAAATTCCCTGTATTTTAGGCAGATGCCTTACTGTTTTCCTTGACAAAGAAGAGGTCATGTTTCTACTTTTCACTGAACAATCTTCCTCTATCCACAATGTTTCTTTTGGGGGTTTCTGTTTTCTTTTGTGGCATTGTAGAAGCCAAGCTGAAATTAAAAAAAATAATAACAGACAATGGACTATATTTACTTTGTTATGAAAATTAATTGATGAGAAAATGGAAAGTAAGTTTTGGGACCTTCCACACCTCAGCT